CCTTCCTTCCTTCCTTCCTTCCTTCCTTCCTTCCTACCTACCTACCTACCTACCTACCTACCTACCTACATACATACATACATACATACATACATACCTATCTTTTTTCATTGATCAAGAAGTTAAACTATGGGGCTTTCTTTTTTTTTCTTTTTAAAAAAAAAATGCAATATGCACAAGAGTTTTGCCACATCCTCCTCTAGTCAAGTGATAGAAAAAAAATGATAAAACTGATTTTTTTTTCTTTTTACTTTTACAAGCCCAGGAGGTGTGTGGAAGCAGGGGAATGCATCAATTGGGGGCTATGGTTAATGTGATCCAGACAGAACCTTATCACCTTGCCGAAAAAAGAAGAGGGGTTTGAAATCCAGGAAGAGGCATCTTAAGTTCACTTCTAGCCAGTTTACACATAGGAATCAAGCAGCTCATGACTATAACAAAGAAAAGTTCACAGCTTTGTGGTAGAAAATAAAAGGAAAACATTTACACTTTCCAAGAATGATTGTCCTGTCAAAATCACTCCAAGAACATAGCCCAGAATCATATAAGAAGTCATTAAAAAGAAAAATATCCAGGGATCAGCAGGTTTGCAAGAGTAAAATCGGTGTCCATAATCCTACTGTCAGAAAAGTGCTGATTGAATTGTTCTTCTTCCCACAAACACATTGGGGCAACTTACAAGTTAAAAATTAGGTTAAAAGTGCTTCATGTATACATCAGAAAAAAAGAACAAGAGCCTTTCTATTGAGACAGATGTACATTGGGAGGAATGAATTTCCTCTTATAGTGGACTTATTTCAAACTTTCCACTTTGGCTGATATTTTTCCCCAGAAAAAAAGATCACCCCCCCCCCAAAAAAAAGCTTGAGTTCATAGTTAGCTTTATCAAGGAGCAAGGAGATGGAGGTTTTCTACTATCTCCAATCACAGAAGCTCATTGAGTTGTCTTATGATGGGGTGAGCTGAATTCTATACAGGTAGTCCTCAATTTACATTTTGCATTGCCATGATCACGTATTTAAAATAAGACACTTGGCAATTGTCTCATATTTATAACAGTTGCACAGTCCTGGGGTCATGTGATCACCTTTTGGGATCTTCTGAAAAAAAAAGTCAATGGGGAAGCCATATTCACTTAACAACCATGTTACTATAACTTAATAGCTGTGGTGATTCACTTAACAACTGTAGCAAAAAAGAATTTAAAATGGGGCAAAATTCACAACAACTGCCTTGCTTATCCTGGTGGTTGTTTATGCATGTGATAGAAACAATAAAAGTGAGGAGAATCATTTTTGTTGAGAAAGTAGAGTAGAATAGAATAGCAATAGCAGTTAGACTTATATGCCGCTTCATAGGGCTTTCAGCCCTCTCTAAGCGGTTTACAGAGTCAGCAT